CCTTGCCAAGGGGGAGGAAGGGAAGGGGGGGAGGGGAAGGGGTGGAAGGCTCAACTGACCCCCAAACCCCCCCTCCCATTCGAGTCACTTTCACTTTACGACTGCCTTGGAAGCTGCATAAATATGAAAAATGTAAAATTTAATATGCAATTTACGTCACTCGAAAGTTGTTTCCCTCATGGTCTCGGCTTTTTTGGGGTCCTTTCAATTTGCATATTTCCTGTGCTCCTTCTTTTCACGTTGTTCTTCTTAATGTTTTACACTTTTTGGTTAGTGGACTTTCTTTTTAGGGTTTCTTGTTTTTTTTTTTTTGTTATGGGTCTGGTCATTGTATTGTCTGGGGAAATTTAGAGCGAGTCTGTGGCAAATGTGCGATAAATATGTGTGCTCAACACTCGGGAAGAACTCGGCCAATGGGGGTTGGAAATGCGGGGGAGTTGCATAACTGCGAAATCGGAGATTTCAATTGACGTCCATCTGGCTGGCATTGAAATGCGACTCGTGAGATGCGGGAACCTCGAAATCGTTTCGTTTCACGGCCTTTGGCCACAGCACTCACCCACAGTCACTCATCCATTCATTCATTCAGTCGGTCAATGATGGACAGACAGTTGTATGCTAAATATGATTGATATCCACACAAAGCGAGATCTCTCGAGAGCAGGTCATGATTTCTATGCCCTGAGATCGAGGCAATGATATAGGGAGAGCTGCGAAAAAAAATATGATCAATCATCCCACCATCGATTCGTTTGGCCCGCTTGCAAGATGACAAAACAAACATTAATGAGGGCGCATTCACGATCCAGCCATGAGATACTTTTCTCCGCAGCCTTTCTCTCACCCATTTCACCGTTGCGCACTTGACTTTGACTAATTCACACAGATTAATTAAGTTAATTGGATTCCTTTGACAAAAACCTCAAATTAGTTTGGCCAATTGCAATGGGAAATGTGTGATACATTTTAAGCGAAGTCTAAAATACCCTTGTTTGCTTCTATAGTTTACTTAAAAACTAAAAAAAAAATGTAAAACATTTAACTGTTTTATTTTTTTGAAAGTCTTTTATTGGGGAGAACAAATTTGACACCCATTGCGATATTCTTTTTAATGATTATTTGACAGTATATAGTATAGTGTAAATTCGATTAATACTAAAAATATCCACGAATTCAACAATAATATTAAAAAACTTTTTATTCAAGTCAGTTCCCAAGAAATCGATAAGGTCTTACGATTGTATCCCAAAAACGAAATGTCTTAAAAATTAAGTAATGTTTGATGATAAACAACAATCAAGTTTAAAAGGTAAAAAAATATCAAGAAAGTCAGATTTTTAATTATTTGTATTATTATTTTTTTTTCTTGTATTTTCAAATAGCGAATGCCCGTTGTGAAGAGTACAAAATTGTGGATTAGACGATGACAGCAGCGAGCAAGAGGCAAATAAATTAATTATGTTAATCTGTTTACATGACAGCCGCATTAGGGTCTTTCCTTAACCGGGCTTTTTTGGGGATTCCTTGCCTGGGTATGTCTGCGTAGCGGTATTCTGTGTATTGGTTTAGTTAATAAAGCAAACACCTGTCGCACTTGAAGCAGTTCTGTCTCCTGTGGACACGCATACGCACCGTTGACAGCGTCAAACTTAAAAAGCTCAAATTGCACAAACTTCTGACAATCATCCAGCCCATGATGTTGATGCTGATGGCCATGGTGGCCGGCGAGAGATAGACGCTCCTAGACATCATCAATTTTCGGAGTCAGAGTTCAGGGTTGGGGATAAAGACCACAAGACACTTGGGAAGCTGAACAGAAAGTTTCTGCGGTTCAGCGAGGAACAGTGGGTCGGAAATGCCCTATAGTGGATAATATATACCGCAAGGACCTTTTGCTTTTTGCATTTAAGAACATTTCATTTGAGAGCTCCTTAAATGCGGATATTTCAGTCTTCGAAATAGGCTTTTGTTCTACCCAAAGAAAATCCATTTCTTCAAATAATGAAGGTACATAATGTTTCATTAATAGTTTAAGTGAATAAACAAAAATATACTAATTTTTTTTTAATAAATATTTTTAATAGCAATTTTTCATTTAGTTAATTTGATTTAAAAAATGTTAATGTAAAATGTTTCTTTGTTTATTACCCAACTATTTACATTTTTATTATGTGTTAAACCTTTCTGCTAACGTTTTTCATATTATTTTTAAAATTCCTGTTGATACGAGTTGGTGCCACAGTCCATTGTAACTGATGTTGTTGATGAGGCATCGTGCACTTTAAGCAAATTAGTTACGCAGCTCATGTTCGTATGGGTCCTTATGGCCTCACCCCCGGAAGAAGTCCGCCCCGCCCACCAATTGTGTGTTGGCAAACAAATTTAATAAATAGCTAAACACACAAAAGTCACAACCCTTTGTACCAGCAGGATGGGGATGTGGAAGTGGGAATGGAAGGGATGGAATGAAATGGTTCTTCCGCCTGTCAACAAGCAACAGAACCATGAAAGAAGCCATTGGCTGGCAACCCTCTCCCAAAAAAAAGGGGGGACCTTCACCAAACCACCCACTCAGCAACCACCTAGTTAGACATATTCATATTTACTCAAGTTTATGGAGCCTTGTATTTGTCTTTGGTTTTTGTCATCGCCGACATTGCGGATTGCCACATAAAATATAACACTTCATTTACAGACCCTCGCATTAGTCTTGGCTTCGTTTTTGCCTTGTCTCCATGTCTTTTTTTTTTTTTTTGCCCAAGCGGAATTCTTTCAACGCCTACTACCAAGAGAAGGTCGAGCGGGAAACGAGGGGGAGGGGGGCGAGGGTTTTCGGGTGGGTCGAAGTCGAAACTGCGGTTTCGCTCTTGGACGGGCCTCATAATTTATATGCTAAACATATTGTGCTCACATGGATTACCAAAATATCGATATACATGGTAGCATTTTCATGTTACACATTTTGAGGGCCTGGTTAGTTGGCTCATTGTGCCCGTTACAACCAAACTGTCAGCAGCAGAAGTCTTTTGGTCGGAGGAGTGGCTTCTCGGTTGCGGGGCTAATGAAAAGGTTAAGGCTGAGGTTTTCATGGCTCTTGATACGATGTGACCGAAGTCAGCCCGAGGGGTGACCCCGATCTGTACCCTCGTCAAGTTGTCGCCAAGTTTTCAAATGCAAAACATCCAAGATACACTGTGTTAAAGGAAACCTCTTAAAAATACTTGGTACTTGGCTGATCCAGCATTAATTGTTTATACTTCTATGTAAATATTTAGATAATCGCCTTGTATTTTCATTTACATTCCTCATAGTCATTAAGTTCATCTGTGGGAATACATTTTTTTGCATTTATTCCTCTTATTAATGTAACTTTTTTTGACCTACAAGAGCACATGAACCGTCATGATTAATGAGTAATATTCAACCCCTTGAACAAGACATCCGTTTCAAGCATTTGCATTTTGCCAAGCTTATCCGGTGGTGACCCCAACGGACTGATCCTCAGCTCTTCGCTTGCCCGAGTTCAACTGGTGACCATGACGCTGATGATTCAGCTGTCACACCCACCCGCCGGTTAAACTGACCTGGCCAACCCATTACGGAGCTCTTTTCGATGCCACCGAAGCATGCCGCCGATTCCCATGAAGCGCTCAGCGGAGCATAAAAAGTTCACAGCCCATTGCCAACTTGGCTAACCCTTTATCCAGGGGCACAAGGCCTCCACCTCCGCCTTCGTCTTGGTCTTCGTCTGGTCAGTTGGCCGGTTCCGAGAAAACAAAACTCCCTTCCTTATAACCAAGAACGGCAGCGAAAGGCACGGTTGCCACTTTAAATATTGTTTTGACCCAATATCTGATCGTACTCCGACCACTTTCGCTTAAACGAGCCAAAATATCTCATTTCCCATACTTCACATACATATTTTTATTAGCTAGACAGAATACAAATGTGCAATAACGACACCACAGTTTTTGTTGATTACAATTTTTACCATTACTATATTTACTATTCAAAAAAGAAGTCAGACAGAAAAGCAAAATTTTCCATTAATTAACTAAAACTATTTAATAAATTACTAACATTTTTTACAAGTTTTATTTGATTTACTAAAATTTTGTTTCATGCCTGTTTTTACTCGAAAGATTTCCTTAAAACGAAGTTCCTGGCATGATCTTATACAAATTTGAGCAATTCTTGGTGAGAAGAGTGGTTTTTTTAATAATTCTTTTTAGTTCTTGCATAATATTTCAGGTGTATCCATACATTTAAAATAATAGTAAGACATTGAAGCCTTCAGATGAAGATTTACTCATTTAGGTTATAATATGAAATTTTGTCAGAGAAATTTAACTTAAAGTGAAATTGGTTGGAAACATAAATTGATGTTATTTTCTTAAACGACAAATTGCTGCCAAAACTTTTTCTTTGTTTCGTTTTTCCGACGAACAAATTTTACAAGAAACATTCTGATTAAAATTGGGATATCTAATTAAAGGTTTTCCGTCAGACAAACTCTAACAAGATATAGGGAAAAAAATGTGTCCGAAATAGCAATTGAGCTTAATGTTCTCTTTTTTTTTTTTGGATTGATATACAAAGTGAAAAGGGAAACCGAATGTAGATAAATGTGTTAAATTAAATTAAAGGATATGCATCCTTTTAATATTATTAACTAAGACTTCAAAAAGATACGAAAAATGTTAAAAATATTTAAATAGTGAAAATAAATTATCTAAATGTGACTCACCCATGCTGATGTCGGTGAAGGTTAAATCGATGGGTCATAATTCGCTGCTGATGACCTTGGACCGGCAGACGTCGCTGCACTGGGTGGCAGTGGGTGGTGCTTCCGTTACCGCTACTTCCAATTCCAATTCCCATTCCGTTTCCATTTAAATTTCCGTTTCGAGCGTTCCACAGCGGCAGCCTCTGCACCTTTTTCACTTCCGGCGAGAGGCCGGCGATCCGAGTGGCCGCTGCACTGGCGCTCAGCGGAGAGGTCATGTTGGCCAGGTCGCTGGCATCCGTATCCCCGTCCTCCTCCTCCTCCGCCTTCTGCGCCGAGGGGCGGCTGCGTCGCGGGGGCGTGGCAGTGGCTTGGGGGCCACACGTCGTCGTTGTTGCAACTGATTGCACGCTGTTGTCGTCGTCGCAGTGGTGGTCACTGTTGTTGCCGCCGATCGGATTGACTTCAGTTTGATGTCGATCAGGCAAGGTGGGTGTGGCAAATTATTATTGTTATTGTTATGGTTACTCTTACTGATGTTGTTGTTATTATTCTTATTGTTGTTAATGCCCTGCCAATGATGTGATTGCATTGGCTGCTGATTATGGAGATGATGTTGCTGCTGGCTCGTTGCCATTGCTGTTGCAGTGCCCGTTGTCGTCGACGATGTTGCAGCATGACTCGGCGTCGATCGGAGATCGTTTAGCATTATGTCCAAGTCGCTGGCCAGCGAGCTGAGCAGCTGCAATGAAACGGCAAATGTTTGGGGTTAACAACGAGTTCGACAAGCCCCCTAATCAAAATACAACATAATAAATCCCGCAATCAAAGTCTATACAATTGACCAACAGTTTAACATGTTTCTCAAGCTATCCATTAAATGAGAATGTCTTAAATGCTCGCTTTAGGAATTTGGTAAAGTAATTCCAATCCCAAAAGACTTCCCCCGATGTTAAAATAGTGGTACCAGGTGGAAGGAAGCGATTACGATTTAGCTAAGACAAAAACTTCTGGCCTAAAAACCAGACCTACATATGTGTAAAAAAGAACTTCTTTTTTAATGGACAAATTACTTTTCCTTTATGTAAACTCTCTAAGTGTAAAGTTGCGAAATTATAGCTTTAAATATTTATTGCCAAATACAACCATTTCTATAATGTTCTCATTTAGAACGGTGCAAACTAGGCAACCTGATACAACAATTTTTTTTGTTTGATAATTAGTAGTAAAATATACTTCCTCTTTAGTTTTTTATGCACGATTAATTGAGTAAGCGTTTTCCGGCGACACGTTGTGCAGAACCTGAACTGCACTTTACAAAATTATTAAAACATCCAACGATTGGTTTTAAAAATAATTCGTCGTATGTATTGATTTAATCGATTTAGTTCTTCAACCAACATGCATATTTGTGAATTTTCTGGGTTGAGACAATCTTTTATATATTTTATGAAGCAACAACTTAACGGCTATCGAAATCAGGCATTGAGTTCACTATTCTTTTCAAATAATCATGATCTTCTACGATCGCAAATAAGAAAGATTTGGCAATCAATTTGTCCACGTATTTGCTAAGTGGTTTATATAAATTCTTTGTTAAAATGAAGAATAGTTTTTTTAAGCGTTATATTTTAATACCCTTGCAGAATATAATATAATTTGGTCGAATTTAAATGTTTAAATAAATGTATAAGCCAAAATACGACGTACAGCCAAAAGAGTTACTGATTTGTGTAGCTCGGGACCTAAACTATCAATTCCGAGTTCATTTGGGAAAATAATTGTTCGTACCGTTTTTCGCATTTGTCAGAAGACATTTTTTATACCCTTGCAGAGGGTATTATAATTTTGGTCAAAAGTGTGCAACGCAGTGAAGGAGACATCTCCGACCCTATAAAGTATATATATTCTTGATCAGGATCACCTCCTGAGTTGATATAGCCATGTCCGTCTGTCCGTCTGTCTGTCCGTCTGTCTGTTTCTACGCGAACTAGTCTCTCAGTTTTAAAGATATCGAATTCAAACTTTGCACACACCCTTCTTTCCTTTGCACGCAGTATATAAGTCGGAACGGCCGGGATCGGCCGACTATATCCTATAGCTGCCATATAACTGATTGATCGGAAATGCCATAACTCTGCTGTTTGTTAAGTTAGGAAGTTGGGACTTTCTATGGGTTTTACATTTGGCCAATCAATACGACGTACCAAATTTCATAAGGATCGGCCGACTATATCCTATAGCTGCCATATAACTGATTAATCGGAAATGCCATAACTTTGGTGTTTGTAAAGTTAGGAAGCTGGGATTTACTATGGGTTTTATATTTGGCCAATCAATCCGACCTACCAAATTTCATAAGGATCGGCCGACTATATCCTATAGCTGCCATATAACTGAACGATCGGAAATGCCATAACTTTGGTGTTTGTAAAGTTAGGAAGCTGGGATTTCCTATGGGTTTTATATTTGGCCAATCAATCCGATCTACCATATTTCATAAGGATCGGCCGACTATATCCTATAGCTGTCATATAACTGAACGATTGGAAATGCCATAACTTTGGTGTTTTTAAAGTTAGGAAGTTGGGATTTTTTATGAGTATTAAGAATGCATCATATCAATAATTTTGGAGAATATAATTTACAGAGTATTCTGCAAGGGTATATAAACTTCGGCTCCGCCCGAAGTTAGCTTTCCTTTCTTGTTTTTTGCTAAAATTGTCAAAAAAATAAAATATTTGAGCTGCGAATTTCATTTGATTGGACATTTTATAACGAATTCAATGAGGTATAATATTCCAACATGCGACCATTATTTCCCAGGGTTTTAACCAAAAAACCGAAAAATAAAGCACATTTTTTTTCGGATTTTGGACAAAATAATTTTAATAAACATCATGATTTTTTTAAAAAAATAAAATCTTTTAGCTGTGAATGCCACTTGATTGAACATTTTATAACGAATTCAACGATGTAGGACATTCCAACATTTGAACAATATTTCTTAAGGCATTGATCAAAAAACCTAAACTGGAGTGGTTTTTTTTTTGGTTTTGGCCAGAAAAATGATTTTCTTTTCTTGGTTTAATTTTCAGAATGACTGCAAGGAGATTAAAACTTTATTTTAAACTTTGAATGGAATAGAAGTTTTAAGTCCTTTTGCGTGTCTTATTACATTCTACATCTGCCGAATAAGTTAAATGCATCTTGGATGTTAAGAAAACCATCGGTCCGAATTTTAATAGTTCTGGTGGTAAGTAAATGGCTGTTCCTGTTTTTCCAAGTGCAAGTATCGGTGGCACTTGGACTTAGCCTTCGGAACTGGGTCCGTGAGGAATTTTCGTGGCACAAACAGTGGGTTGGGCTGGGCTTGGGAACTGGAGTTGGGGATTCGGGTGGGGGATTGAGGGTTGATGGCTGGCTGGGATCGGAGGCGAAGTTGGGTGCTGCGTACCTGTCCAACTGGTCTTAACTTCCGGCGGTCTGCGGCGAGGCCGTCGTCGATCTCCAATAATTACGCGCCACTGTCTCGGCTAATGCAATAATAACGGGTTTTCGGCGGTCTCCCGTCGATCCGCCCAACCCCCCAAACCCCCCTGACGCCTCACCGCCCCCTCGAAACCGCCCGCTCATGTCTGCGGTGCCCCATGTGCAACATGGTTAACGTTAACCATGTCCCGAGTGCCAAAAAAGCAGCAAATTCAACGTCAACCCAAAGCAAACCGGCTCCCACGCTCTGTGCTAATTTGATCTCCACTTCTGTTTCTTGCCGTCATTTTTTCTTCTCCTTTTTTTTTGTTTTGTATTTTGGTATTTATAAATATTTCTATGGTTTTCGGACTTTTGTTATTTTTCTGAGGCTTTTTGTTGTGGCCTGAAAGCCAGCAGAAGTTGGCGAGTTGTATGCAAATCGAGGAATGAATTGTTGATGTGAACCAATCGACCATCGCTGCAAAGGAACTGCAAATGGAGTTGTCTGCGAAAGTGCCACATAAGGTGTGTTTTGAAACCCTCATATACATGTATATCGAATTTACCAAATTTATGTAATATCTTTGCATTTATATTTCCATGATCTCAAAATGTATTAAGTAAATACGATTAGTATGCATCATTACAATCCTTATCTGTTTTTCTTGTATTAATGACAATGTTTATAAATAAATATAACAAAATATATATTTTATATTTATACCCTTGCAGAGGGTATTATAATTTCAGTCAAAAGTTTGCAACGCAGTGAAGGAGACATTTCCGACCCTATAAAGTATATATATTCTTGATCAGCATCACCAGGAGAGTCGATCTAGCCATGTCCGTCTGTCCGTCCGTCTGTCCGTCCGTTTCTACGCAAACTAGTCCCTCAGTTTTAAAGCTATCTGCTTGAAACTTTCCCAAAAGTTGTCTTTCTATTGCAGGTAGTATATAAGTCGGAACGAGCCGGATCGGGCCACTATATCATATAGCTGCCATATAACTGAACGATCGGAAATGCCATATCTTTGGTGTTTTTTAAAGTTAGGAAGTTGGGATTTTCTATGGGTTTTATTTTTGGCTAATAAATCCGACCTCCCAAATTTCATAAGGATCGGACGACTATATCCTATAACTGCCATATAACTGATTGATCGGAAATGCCATAACATTGGTGTTTGTAAAGTTAGGAGGCTGGGATCTTCTATGGATTTTATATTTGGTTAATCAATCCGACCTACCAAATTTCATAAGGATCGGCCGACTATATCTTATAGCTGCCATATAACTGAACGATTGGAAATGACATAACTTTGTTGTTTTTAAAGTAAGGAAGTTGGGACTTTTTTTAAGTATTAAGAATGCATCATATGAATAATTTTGGAGAATATAATTTATAGAATATTCTGCAAGGGTATATCAACTTCGGCTCCGCCCGAAGTTAGCTTTCCTTTCTTGTTATAATCAAAAACCATTCGAAATGTTTACTTTATTTTACGGGAACAGTTTTAAAAGTTCATAATTCTTAAGCATTTATAAAATCTATCACATTCAAGATTTTATTATGATAAAGCCTTTAAAATCACCTTCATTTCAAAGCAAAGATTTTAAAGGCTGTAACTGCAGATCTGGCATTAGCACCCGGATTTGTTTCCCTATTTCTTTTTGGTTTTCTTTTTGTAATCCGCATCGCGTATACGCCCCGTTGCACTCCTCAATTTGCAAACAGATAAAACGAAACGAGAAATCAACTTAAACATATGGATTAGCATGTAATATGCCACACTCTCACACAAACACACAGATAAAGACTGAGACAAAGACATAGACAAGCCAGCCAATTGAGCAATTGCCACATCCAACAAATTCAAATTGAAAATGTGGGCAAAGCAAGCAAAAAAAAAAAAAGAAAAAAAAAGAAAAAAAAAAGAAAAAAAAGAAAAAAACAAAAAAGGAAATAAAACGAAACTCAACCGCAGAGTGTCTTGTTTGAAGTACAAACAAAACTTCAATTGGCTGGCGGGGAATTGTGTGCGGGGAGTGGAGATGCGATGAAGTCAGTCGACGGTTTCAATTTAGGCATCATAAAAACGAAACAGAGAATCGCAAATTATTCTGTATAATATTGCAAATTAAATTAAATAAGCTCCCAGTGATCAATCCGATTTAACAACCCCCTTCACTTACCGCTATGGCATCCATCACCGCATTAACCATTTTCCTTTTTTTTTTCCTTGTGCCGATTTGTTTCGCTTATCCAGTTTATCTTCAGTTTTATTGTTTCTTCTGCCCGGTTTCTTATGATTTATTCGACAGTCGGGCAAACATTTTGCACAATTTCGTTTGCTTATTACTGGACTTAAGGTCGCAGTTCCGATTCGAATTCATTTGGCTCCTCAGACTCGTCTGAATCTTCCTTTGCCCCTCCTTTCAATTCTGTTGACATTTAATTAACGACAGGTGGTGGACCCCGCATCCAATCCGCGGGAATGGAACTGGGAATCGTACGTGCTCTTTTCCTGTGGGCAGAGAATTTAGAAAGAGTTATGCTTTTTAGTGGCTGCTCGGAAAGTGGGATCTGAATGAAGGCGTTCCAGTCGATGGGATGGATCGCATTGAATTCAGATTCAAAAATGAGAGAAATAAAAATAATCATAAATGATGTTGAACATAAAAAAGGATTGGTAAGAAGGTGTACAATCCGTACATGATTGGCATTGAAATTTTCACAGACACATATGCCTCGAAATTTCACAAGAAATCGCCGAAATAAGTTCAACACAAGCTTATTAAGCGAAAAAAGTAATAAAAAAAAATTGGGGAAATTAAAATAAATAGGGCATGTCTTGTGTATCTTTTTTACAAACTGGAAATGTTTGCCGCAACCATGTAAACTTAAAACATGAAAGAACGTTGTGGTCCAATAAGAGAAACTCTTCAATCAAAATTTTGTTACAGGTTATGTTACATTGCTTAAATGGCTTTTTAAATAACATGTAGAGCTAACCATCTTGAATTGGTCAGATTTTTATAATTTTCTGTAAAGTTGCCCTAAAATAATAGTCATTTCTGCAGTTCTGCCAATAAATATGTTTTCAAATAGATATCTTCTTACTTTTCATTGTTTAATTTACTTGATTTAGACTAGCATTAAACATTTTAATTGAATAATGAATCTTACTTTTTATTGTTTAATTTACTTGATTTATACTAACATTAAACAGTTTAATTGAAAAATTAATAAATAATAAACTTTCAAATAGACATAATCAGAAGGGAAATAATTATTAAATTCATACTAAGGCTAAATATTTTTTTAAATGTTAGTAAATTTTTTTTTATTAAATTTTAGTTAATTAAAAACAACACCGTTTTTGAGATAAGCTTTGTGTATGTATTATATTTCTTTTGATTTATAATTTAAAAAAAAAAAGAAAACAAATGAATTTTAAATAAATCTTCTGGCACTGACTTTTAACTGGGTCTATAAAATATACAAAATTAACAATTAAAGACGGACAGTTACTAGATACTTTCAGGGACATCCTTAAGTACACTTTGGCTCAGATAGCTGACAAAACTTTCCACCATGAAGGCACAAACAAAGAAACGACCCCAGACATCTACTGCCAAATGGAGTATTAAAAATATGAAAAAAGACACTACGCGCGACTGTCTAAAAGTGAATGTATCTGCAAGATACTCGTACATTCATACGTTTTTAATTAAAACCCGAGCGATTGCTCTGCCCCTGTGCAAACATTTGCCCCGAAGTTTGTTTGACAATGTCCGTACCCGTACTCAAAAACCCAAACCCGAACCCGAACCCGAATCCGAACCCGAAACCCCAATGCCCTAACCCCGCCACGCATTTCATGTGGATTGCGATGGTGATAATGGATAATGGCGATGTAGATGTTGATGTTGAAAATTGAAAAAAAAAGACAAACAGCGTATAAAACAAAAAAAAAAAACTACTGAAAACGAAATAAAATGAAAAACTCGTTTCACGTATTTTTCCACAATTTTCCGCATTTTATGCTCATTAATTACATTTTCATTTCAATTTCTGCATTTACATAACCATTTCATTTCATTTCATTTCGGCTGTCCCTCTCGCAGATAAATTTCGATTCGCTGTTGGCTTTTTTATGTGCTGAGCTGAACTGGCTCAAAGCCACAAAATTCCTCGGCCAGTTGACGGAAGTTGAATTGCAAATGAAATGTTTTTTATTTTTCCCAGCTCAGATACCAGAAACAAGATACGCGCGTATATACTCGCATATCTGACGAATATCAACGGCAATGGCCAGAAGTTTTGACTCCATCTGAAATGCATTCGGTGCGGCCTGTGCGACATTTCTCAAAGCCCCAAAAGCGAAATCGCTGGCAATCAAACGAGAAGCGTGAAAAAAATACAAGTCAACGATCCACCACTCCACCTGCCCCTCGTCCCTCCTCACGATCCTCAAAATGAGCGGTACGCAGCTCATTACAATAGCTTTAAATGCATACAAAATGAGCGTTTTGTCTTGAAGCTGTTATTTATTTAGCCCCTTACCGCCCCTTTTAGCTGCATAAATTGCCGATCAGATATATCGATGGGGTAATGTCGCACTCGCAATGGAATTGCTCACAATTCAGCGGAGTTGGATGGCCGCTATATAAACTATGGATTTGCTTCTGGCGAAAAATGAAATATAACTTTACGGAGTGAATATGTGACACATTGTTTCTGTGGAAGCATTGGCTTCATAAGCAAGTTATATTTCGATGGGCTCACAGAACCACTTTGATCTTCTTATCAAATGATTCTAATATTATTTACACTGTATATGTGTGCATGGGAAAATTTAATTTTAAATATTATACATGCAATTCCGATACTTCAAACTTTTTATTAAATAAAATAATTCAATGTGAAACATAAGTTTACTATTATTTTAATTTTGTTATTTTGTATGTATATATCTTAAGTTCCTGCATGTCAGTGTTTGAGAAAATTGACTTCTACGTTGGAAAAATTAAGATTTTGATCATTATGTTTAAATGCCCAATTGCAACTCTTTGACTTTTAAATATATATTTCAATTTTTATACCCTTGCAGAGGGTATTATAATTTTGGTCAAAAGTGTGCAACGCAGTGAAGGAGACATCTCCGACCCTATAAAGTTATATATTCTTGATCAGGATCACCTCCTGAGTTGATATAGCCATGTCCGTCTGTCCGTCTGTCCGTCTGTCCGTCTGTCCGTCTGTCCGTCTGTCTGTTTCTACGCAAACTAGTCTCTCAGTTTTAAAGCTATCGAGTTGAAACTTTGACACACCCTTCTTTCCTTTGCACGCAGTATATAAGTCGGAACGGCCGGGATCGGCCGACTATATCCTATAGCTGCCATATAACTGATTGATCGGAAATGCCATAACTCTGCTGTTTGTTAAGTTAGGAAGTTGGGACTTTCTGTGGGTTCTATATTTGGCCAATCAATCCGACGTACCAAATTTCATAAGGATCGGCCGACTATATCCTATAGCTGCTATATAACTGATTGATCGGAAATGCCATAACTTTGGTGTTTGTAAAGTTAGGAAGTTGGAATTTTCTATGGGTTTTATATTTGGCCAATCAATCCGACCTACCAAATTTCATAAGGATCGGCCGACTATATCTTATAGCTTCCATATAACTGATTGATCGGAAATGCCATAACTTTGGTGTTTGTAAAGTTAGGAAGTTGGGATTTTCTATGGGTTTTATTTTTGCCCAATCAATTCGACATATTAAATTTCATAAGGATCGGCCGACTATATCCTATAGCTGCCATATAACTGATTGATCGGAAATGAAATAACTTTGGTGTTTTTATACCCGTTACTCGTAGAGTAAAAGGGTATATTGTATTCGTGCAAAAGTATGTAACAGCTAGAAGGAAGCGTTTCCGACCCTATAAAGTATATATATTCTTGATCAGGGTCACTAGCCGAGTCGATATAGCCATGTCCGTCTGTCCGTCTGTCTGTCCGTCTGTCCGTCTGTCCGTCTGTCTGTCCGTCTGTCTGTCCGTATGAACGCTGAGATCTCGGAAACTATAAAAGCTAGAAGATTGGCATTTTGCATGCAGATTCTAGGAGTTCCTACGCAGCGCAAGTTTGTTTCAAAAAGGTGCCACGCCCCTTTAACGCCCACAATCGCATATATACGATTTTAAAAATTTAAATATTTCGGAAAAGTAAAATGCAGTTTTATTGTGTTTATCAATACCTTTCGAAATGTAGAAGAAATTTTTCAAATCGGACCATTCGTTAAAAAGTTATGCGTGATCAAAGTTTCTATCTCCATCTCCTGCACTCCCTTTACCTGAGTAACGGGTATCTGATAGTCGGGGCACCCGACTATAGCGTTTCTCTTGTTAAAGTTAGGAAGGTGGGTTTTTATGAGTATTAAAAATGCATCATATGAATAATTTTGGAGAATATAATTTGCAGAATATTCTGCAAGGGTATTTCAACTTCGGCTCCGCCCGAAGTTAGCTTTCCTTTCTTGTTAATTTTAATTTTTTGTTACCTTTTTTCCATACATTCGTATAGGAATTGATGGAATCCTATTCTTTATCTTTAATATACAAAAAATGTATAATTTAATACAAAAGATAAGATATAAACATAATCAGATACAGATACAATCTCCAAAGTATATTTAAAGTGAAAAAGTTGCATTGGTTTTGCATCTTCATTTACTGATTTTCCCATATCAAATGTATTTCAAACCTAAGAAGCCATTTCAAGATTACATTTAACTGTCGCAGTATCAATAATATTATGTCTATTTTCTGCAGATCTAAACAGGTCTTTGGTTTGTTTTCAGATGTTTTGTTTACCATACTTTTTAGGAGCTCATTAACCGAATCTGATACAAGAGACGACAGACAAACATCGAACCCATGAAATAACTGGGGGATGGGGATGGCAAAGAAATATTTGAGGCATGAAATATCAATAACAATATCAATACGACGAGACATGGCGGACAGCTAAAGCTAACGAGGCTGTCGATGGGATCGATCTCTTGGGTTTATCAATTTCGCTCTTATGAATATTTCGGTTTCGCCTCGGTTATTTATTGAATTTGTGTTAAGGTTAAATAGCAGCGTGAAATTGAAATGAATTGTGTGATATATAGACGAGATAAACGAGAGACTCGACCGCGAGATTTCGGCGGGCATGATGGGTCTAAGTCTAATCATCTCGGAAGAGTCTTTATCGCTCGGCCGTTCTGGCCTTTGTGCCGGTTACTTCCCCGATAAACCTCAACCGCTCAACTGTGTAAATTGAATGATAAGCCCATTGCTTCACTTAGTCACAGAACCAGAACCAGAATCAGAATCAGAGCCACAAACTTTGCTCTCCGATGATTGCCTTAATGGTGTCGACGATGATGGGCTGGATGGCCTTTCAATCTCAATTGGGCCGAAGGTGATTTCGTCGCCAAGGCAAAATCGATCGCATTTGGCTGCCACT